CATCATCATCATCATCATCATCATCATCATCATCATCATCATCATCATCATCATCATCATCATCATCATCATCATCATCATCATCATCTATCTCCTCCATCTCATCCTCCATTTCATCCTCCGTTTCCTCCTCCGTTTCCTCCTGCGTTTCCTCCACCTCCTCCTCCTCCTCCTTCTCCTCCTCCCTCATCCTCCTCCTCCTCGTCCTCCTTCTCATCCTCCACCTCCGCCTCCGCCTCCGCCTCCGCCTCCGCCTTCGCCTCCGCCTCCGCCTCCGCCTCCGCCTCCGCCTCCTCCTCCCTCCGCCTGCTCCTCCTCCTCCTCCTCCTCCTCACCTCCTCCTCTCCTGAAATCGAAATATGTTTTCTTCTAATCCTCCTCCTCCTCCTCCTCCTCCTCCTCCACCTCCTCGCTCCTCCTCCTCCTCCTCCTCCTCCTCCATATCCTCCTCCATCTCCTCCATCCATTTCCTCTCCTCCTCCTCCTCGCCTCCTCCTTTACCTCTACTCCTCTTTCCTCCTCCTCCTCCTCCTCCATCTCCTCTCCATCTCCTCCTCCTCCCCCTCCCTCCTCCGTTTCCTCCTCCTTCCTCCTCCTCCTCTCCCCCTCACTCCCCACCCCTCCTCCTCTTCCTCCTCCTCCTCCTCTTCCTCCTCCTCCTCCTCCTCTTCCTCCTCCTCCTTTCATTCTTTCCCCAAGCCTGAGACACTCAGAGTGTCGGCCGACCAGATCTGACACAGATGCATAATGGAGAATCGCACGTCTACCCTCTCACAGGGGCGAGTGAGGCGCACAGCCTTGATATAAATAGCGTGCACTCTTCGAGCGCCAAAGCTTCTGCCCTGAGAGATGAAATAGGAGTCGGAATAAACGTTCCAGCCATCGCTATCGGGTGAAACTCCCAAGCTGTACCATCCCATCGCCCGGCCTCCACCACCCACCCAGTGGCCGAACACGAGCCCGCGCGGGTACCTCCATCAGAATGCGCTACAATATTACACTCAGAAAGATGCACGCCGGGGAAAGGGTAATCGAAGCTTTTAGACCATGACGCTCTTGAGTCCATTGTATAATTAGCGAGAAAATCAGCTACGACATTGCAATCTCGGAGAGAGCGTGATCCACCGCCGCTTTAGTGTGAGAAATTGCCGACTTTTTCCTCCGGAACCCAGGGGTCCCCCCCCCCCTCCGAAAATTCCCCCCCTGCTTCCCCCCCCCCTCTCCCCGGCAAAACCCCCCCCCTCTCCCCTAACACCCTCCCCCCCCCCCTCCCCCTCGAAAAACCGGGGGGGGGGTCACTACCGGTTCGAACCCCCCCCCCCTCGAAAACGGAGGGGGGGTGTCACTACCGGTTCGAACCCCTCCCCACCCCCCCCCTCTCACCGCCAGGAAACGACTCCGGGTCCCTACCACCGTCCTCACCACATCCCCACTGTTGTTCCCAGCACCACTGTCCTCACCACTCACCACCACTGTCCCTACTGGTTCCACCACCGCCCCTACTGTCCCCACCAGTGCCACCACCACTGTCGCACTGTCCCCACTGTCCCCACCACTGTTCCCACCACGGTTCCACTCTCCCAACTTTCTCCACGGCCCCAACCACTGCCCGACTATCCCCACTGTCCCCACTGTCCCACTGACTCCTCCGCTAGCCCACTGAGCTGTCCCACTGTTCCCACCAGTGTCCCCACCACTGTCCCCACTGTACCTCTGTCCCATTGTCCCACCGCCGTCCTCGCCACCGCCTTCACCACTGTACCCTCCACTGTCCTACTGTTTCCACCACATTCCCACTGTCCCTACCACCACCGTCCCCACCACTGTCCCACTGTCCCCACTGTTCCCACCATTGTCCTCACCAATGTCCCCACCACTACCGTCCCCACCACTGTCCCACTGTCCCCACCACTGTCCCGCTGTCCGCTCACCACTGTCCCCACCACCACCGTCCCCACCACTGTCCTCCGCACCCCCACTCGGTTTTCAGGGGGGGGGGGGGTTCGAACCGGTAGTGACCCCCCCCCCGTTTTCGAGTTCGAGGAGGGGGGGGGGGTTCGAACCGGTAGTGACCCCCCCCCCCTTTTCATGATGAACTGGGGGGGGGGGAGGGGTTCGAACCGGTATTGACCCCCCCGGTTTTCCGGAGGGGGGGGGGGAGGGGTTCGAACCGGTAGTGACCACCCCCGGTTTTCCGCCAGCAGCGGTACAACACGCTCTTTCTAATCTCGCTTCCGCCATGCGACGGGGTCGTGGTGTGCTGAGGAGGGGCCCATCCCAATTCGAGCATCGACACCAAGTTGTTGCAGATACTGCTGAATATGGGTTCGGCCTCCTCTTCCTCCTCCTCCTCCTCCTCCTCCTCTTCCTCCTCCTCCGCCTCCACCTCCACCTCCGCCCCCGCCCCCGCCTCCGCCTCCGCCTCCGCCTCCGCCTGCGCCTCCGCCTCCGCCTGCTCCTCCTCCTCCTCCTCTTCCTCCTCCTCTTATTATTAACTATTATGGTTATAAGTATTAGGATTGTGATTCTTTGTAGTAGTAGTAGTAGTAGTAGTAGTAGTAGTAGTAGTAGTAGTAGTAAGAGTAGTAGTAAGAGTAGTAGTAAGAGTAGTAGTAGTAGTAGTAGTAGTAGTAGTAGTAGTAGTAGTAGTAGTAGTAGTAGTAGTAGTGGTAGTAGTAGTAATAGTAGTAGTAGTAGTAGTAGTAAGAGTAAGAGTAAGAGTAAGAGTAAGAGTAGTAGTAGTAGTAGTAGCAGCCATATCATTAGTACGCGTATCAGTACTATTACTTTATTAACTTCCGTATTCGTAGCATTAGTTTGCTTAGTATTAGTCGTGTTAGAGTTAGTAGCAGTATTAATAGTAGTAGTAGTAGTAGCAGTGGTAGTAGTAGTAGTGGTGGTAGCAGTAGTAGTGGTAGTAGTAGTGGTAGTAGTAGTAGTAGTAGTAGTAGTAGGGGTAGTAACAGTAGGAGTAGTAGTAGTAGTAGAAGTAATAGTAGTAGTAGTAGTAGTAGTAGTAGTAGTCTTCATCTCAGTTTTACCACCATAATCAGTAATACCAGTATAAGCCATAGTATTCTTGGTGTTCTTGGAATTATTACTATTAGTCGTCGTACTTCTTGCCTTATTCTTCGCAGTAGTAGTATTCTTATTGCTCTTCGTATGAACACTAGTCTTAGTTTCCAAATTCTTCATATCTATATTGGCAGCATTAGTCTCATTCGTAGTATTACTCTTGCTGCTGGCTATTATTCTTATCATTCGTACCACTAGTCGTCATAATTCGTCTTACGACTCGTGGTAGTCTTATTGTTCTTCGTAATAGCAGTAGTATTGTTATTCGTGTTCTGTTCATTCGTATTATTGTGCGTAGTCTCGTTATTCATAATAATTTTAGCATTAGTAGTGCTAGTATCCCTCTGCCTCCTCTTCTTATGTTTTTTAGTGTTGTGATTCTTAGTGGTATTGCTATTAATACTAGTAGCATTAATCAGATTATGCCTCCTCCTCCTCCTCTGCCTCCTCCTCTCCTTCTCTTCCTTCTCCTCCTCCTCCTGATTATTATTTCTTTTCCTCCTCCTCCTCCTCATCATCATCACCACCACCACCACCATCATCATCATCATCATCATCATCATCAGCAGCAGCATCATCATCATCATCATCATCAGCAGCAGCAGCATCAAAAACATCAGCATCATCAGCATCACTTTCATCATCAACAACAACAACATCATCAGCTTCATTCATCATCGTCATCATCATGACCATCATCATCAGCAGCATCACCATCATCACCATCATCATCAGCAACATCATCATCACCAGCATCATCATGATGATCATCATCATCATCGTCATCCTGATCAGCAGCAGCATCAGCATCACCATCAGCATCATCAGCAATTACCCCAGTGCGACCCTACCTAGAAGTTCGAGCCCCTAGGAAAGCAGCATTAGTTGCTATGCTATGCTATGCTATGCTATGTTATGCCATGCTATGCTGCGCTATGATATGCTATGCTATGCTATGTTATGCTATGCTATGCTGCGCTATGCTATGATATGATATGATATGATATGCTAAGCTATGATATGCCATGCTGCACTGTGCTATGCTAAGCTATGCTATGCTATGCTATGCTGCGCTATGCTATGCTACGCTATGCTATGATATGATGTGTTCTGCTATGCTAAAGTTCTGCGAAGCTAAGATGAAGGTAAGTTAAGCTAAGATAAACCTGAGTTAAGATGAAGCTAAGCTAACTAAGCTAAGATGAAATAGGCTAAGCTAAGATGAGATAAGCAACGCTAAGCTAAGGGGACGTAACTGGGGGAACCGCGGGGCGGATACTGGGGGGCCCGCCCGGGGCGCTTTCCACTGCCCGGCCCCTTTAAGCCCAGAGAGTAAGAACCCTTCTAGGCAGAGCCTAGGTAGGGAAGATCATCATCATCATCATCAGCAACAGCATCATCAGCAGCAGCAGCATCATCAGCAGCAGCATCATCAGCATCGTCATCATCATAATTATTGTTCCTTCTCCTCCTCCTCCTCCTCCTCCTCCTCCTCCTCCTCCTGATCATCCCGTGGAAAGCATACCTCCCTGTCAGCTGGATTCGCGGGAAGCGCGTAAGAAGAGCGCCGTGGCAAAGCAAAGCCGACCCAGTCGGCCGAAACCGACATCGAATCGCATCGAATCGGATCGATCGTGGGCCGTGCCCGGGCGCCCGCCCAGACGCGCGGTGCTGGGCTCGCGAGGCAGCGCGGCTGGACGGCTGGCGTCCTCGAGCGCCGTGCCTCTGGGACGCCAGGCCCAGTCAGGGGAAATGGAAGCGCGGAGGTGGATACGTGTGCTGTTCCCTTCGGTCTTCGCTGGACCTCTCCCCATCGGGGGGGATGAGCTGGTGGGGCTGAGAAACCCAGAGGAAGAAAAGCTGCATGAGCAGAAACTTTCGGAGGCCCGCGCGGCTTTCTCGGATCAGGGCCCCCCTCCAGGGCGCGGCGCCCGAGGCGCCGCCAGCGCACCCCGCGCCGATCCGAGGCACCCGCGTGGAGTGAGATGTTATTTTCGGTGTTTGTTCCGCGAACGACGGCGAACGATCGTCGGGGAGGCGCAGCCGCACAGGGGCCGCCATGAAGGCGGCGGGACCCAGCCCGAGATCTGACGCGGGCCCCCGCCGCACACCAGCCCGCGAAGCGGCTGCCGGCGCGGGGGGAAGCGAGATGGGGCGGGCCTTCTCAGAAGGGTCGGAAGCCCCCCAGGCCGTCTGAGAAGCTGCCTTTTTCGCAAGGTTGGTTGCTAGATTCCTGTATGTCGTGCCGAAGCCTTAACACCAACAGGGCTCCAAGACACTAAGCCAGCGACCTCCCTGAGCCTTCCCCCAAAGGCACGGAAGGCCTCTTGGGAGGCCGAAGGGCCGCTGCGAAACCCCGCCGCCTCCTTAGGAGGCCTTCTCCTCATCGCCTCCCCCCTTCGCTCGCCGCCGAGCGAAGGCTCGGCCGCCGGGACGCCCGCGCCCAGGGCCGGCAGGAGGAGCGGCAGCAGGCCCGCGCTCCTGCCGGCCTGCGTCCCGCGCCTGACTCGGCGCCCTCCCCGAGGACGAAGGCAGCGGAGCGAAGGCGAAGGGGAGAGGCCAGCGGCCGACCCGGCCCCTCCAGAGCCACCCCCCCTTCCGCGGCGCCACCCTCGCCTCTCGAGCTCCCCCCTCGGGCTACACCACGTCCTGGGGCGAGGCGAGGGGGACGCCTCCTCCTCTTCCTCCTCCTCCTCCTCCTCCTGCTCCTCCGCCTCTTCCGCCTCCTCCTCCTCCTCCTCCTCCTCCGCCTCCTCCTCCTCCTCCTCGAGCTCCCCCCTCGGGCCGCCTGCACTACGTCCTGGGACGGGAGGGGAGAATCGCTCGCCAGGGGCCGGTCCGGCGCCGCCCCAGGAGAGGAGAGGCCAGCGGCCGAGCGGGGGCGGGGCGACCCCGAGATCCGACGTCTCGGGAGCAGCTGGCCGCGCGCAGAGGTGGGGCGCAGTCGGACCCAGGACAGGAGAACATCCTGCAAGAGTACGAGACCCCTCCGCCGGCCAAACCGACAAGCCTGCGAGGGTGCCCTTCCCCAGGATGCCCAAGAGCATCCCACGAGCGTGAAGAACCTCAGGGTACCCTCCCCGAGCCGACCTCGATCTTATGCCTCGGTCCGATTGTAGGGGGAGGGGGGAAGGCTTCTCGGAAGGAGGCTGCTTCTAAGAAGGCGCTGGCCCTACATCTATAGACAAGGCCAGCGATTTCCAAAAATCCAGGGGTGCTTCTGGGAAGCCTTCCCTCCTCCCCCTACCCCCCTCTGCGCGTGGCTGAAGAAGAAGTGCAGCATCGCGAGAAACCACGACTGGAGCCCTGGGCCCCCGTCCTTCTGCGGCACCTGTCGTGCTGGGGCCCCACACCGGGCGAGCATGCCACCTGCGAAAAGATTGCAACGCCTGGGCCTCACGGAATGGCGAGGGCAGGGCCTTTTCGAGCCCCCGCGCTGCACACCCCGTCGCCCAGCGCGCCGGCCACGGCCCGATCCTCCTGCTGGGCGAGAGAGAAAGCTGTATGCACGGACACTGGTCCTGGCCAGGCCCACCCCGACCCCCAGGATCGGTGCGCCCTCCTGGATGTGGCCAGGGACGCGCACTCACCGATCCTGGGCTTGGGATGGGCCTGGACAGGACCAGTGTGTGCGTGTGTGCGTGTAGCTTTAGGTCGGACATGTCCCCTACAGGAGGATTTGGGGCAAACACTTGAAAATAGTCAAGCATGACCAAAAAGAGTCAAAAAAAAAAAAAAAAAAACCATCCTCCTGAATATTTCTGGAATATTTATGGATACTCCTCCTGTAGAGGCACATGCCCGATTTAAGTATAGTTCTTCGCCCAGCCTGCGGCGTGGCGGCCGCGAGGTCCGGCGCGAACGCGCGCTGCGCCTGCTGCTCGCGCACGGCGCTGTCGTGGAAGAACACGTCCAGCCCCACGGCGGGGCCGCCCTCGCCCAGGACGTGCACGCGCAACGTGCGCACGTCCTCCACCGCCGAGCCTGAGCTCATCGCTTGACCGGTCCACATCTACCGTTAGACAGTCCAAGGTTCGCTAGGGACTGGTCTCTTTTCAAAACAGCCAGACCCTCCCGAAACCCTCCGAAAACCCTCCAGGGAGGGCTCCGGGAAGGTTTCCCGAGGGTTCTGGGAGGGTTTGGGAAGGGCTTTCGTCGTTTTGGGGGAAAACAGTCCCTAGCGAACCCTGGGCTTTCGAGATCTACCGAGACCCCCCCTGGCGACGTGGGCAAGAAAGAGAGCACGGCGAAAAAGTGTGTGTGTGTGTGGCGGTGTGCGTCGTGACGAAGGGCACCACGGAGACTTCGACAGAAGTGCTCGGCCGGTCTCGGCCACCCCTCAGGCCCTCGCCGGGCCCCAACAAGTGCGACAAAACTCGGGATGAGAAGCCGGTCCCCGGGAGGGGGCCGAGACTTCAAGGCACCGGAGAGAACAAACAAAAAAAAAACTTACATCTGATCCACGTTATGAGGAAAATCCAGGAGGGCGCGCGCGGCAACTTGAGACCCGATTCACGTCGGATCCACGTCGGATTTACGTCGGGTTCAGGTCGGAATACGTCGGAATTACGTCGGATTTACGTCGGACTGACTCCAGAGCGTCGCCGCGCGAGAGTCGACCCATAGCTCACGGAGCTGACGTGTGGACTAGATAATACTACTATTACGCGCCGCGCGAGCCCTCCACAATTTTCCTCGTAATCTACGGGCAGGCAACCACATGTGATACGCGGGTCGCACGCGTGGCACACCGCGTAGACACAAGGGCGCTCACGAGCCAAAATTATTGCGCAGGCAGGTTTCGTTCGAATGTCGGCGCAGCCAGGCGTCGCTCAGTTTCAACTGGTGAACTTTGCTAACCCCCTGCAAGTCAGAGTTCCGAAAAAACGGCTGGAGCTCAGAATATGAAGGATGTCTGCGGCCAGGTGAATCCTAGCAAGGGTGTCTGATGCCCCAGCGTCAAGCGGCCCCGCAGGGACAGGGTTCGCACTGGTCGCAGACCATCCCCATGGGCATGGCCTTGGCCCCACTTGGCCGACTTACCCCGTAGGTGGATACGTGTGCTGTTGCCTTCGTTCTTCGCGGGACCTCTCCCCATTGGGGGGGTTGAGCTGGTGGGACTGAGAAACCTAGGAGGAAGAAAAGGTGCATGAGCATAAACGTGCGGAGGTCCGCGCGGTTTTCTCGGATCGGCGATCGGCCGCCCTCCCGGGCGCGCGGAGCGCGCCAGGGGCGGCGCCAGAGGCGCCGCCAGGGGGCTCCAACGCCGATCCAAGAAATCTGCGCGGAGCGCCGAAAGTTTATGGTTATGCCGTTTTTGTTTTTCCTGTGGGAAGTACAGTGGCCCAGTGGGGTGGCGATATCCAAACCAGAACTACCCCCGCCAACCATCGATTCTCCTGAATCGATGGGAAGCGGGGGTAGGGTTCGGATTTCGCCACGTGTTCGGCGAATTCCGAACCCTACCCCCGCCGCCCACTGATTTGCCTGAATCGTGGATCGGCGACGGCACATAGGGTTCGGATTCCTTCGCCGACCAATGGGGACGAGGATCGGTCCGACGATGCCGAGAGCCCGTCTCCCAGTCCACGTTCGACCACAGCACCGCGTCGCCCCTGCGTAGCACCAGGCGGACCCCAAGCCTCACGAAGAACACCTCGTCGCGGTCCCCGAGGCAGACGTAGCCAGACTTTGGACCTCGGGAAGGAAGAGGAAGGGAGAACGCAGACGCCTGGAATCCGGGCGTTGCAACGCTTTCACGCTGGGCGTTTCCGCCTGGTCTGAGGCCCCAGGACCATCGCATATCGATCTGGTCTAGGGTTGTGGCCGTTTTTTTCACGACGTCAAAATTGTTTCGCAACGTCGGATCTCAGGGACGTCCGACGTCGCGATCTTTGTCACAGCGTGTCTCCCCAGGAGTTCTGGGCCCCATTCCAGGGGGCCCGGCCTCTCATCCCGAGTCTGTCTTCTCGACGGCCCCGAGCGGCCGGTGAGGGGCCCCTAGAAGCCGCGGACGGAAAAAATACCCTGCGACGTACCCAACCCATCGGCACCAAGGGAAAATAGAAGGTGCGCCGACAATAGTGCGACAGCAACATTGCACGAGACGGTGCACGGCGGATATCTATTCCGTGCGAATGGTGCACGGACGACTCGCAGAACAGAGGTACAAAAGGCCAGGAGGCGTTGTGCTGGAAAGGAGAAGCTGAAGGAAGACATCGGGGCAAAAGAACAGTCACCTCGGCAGAAGCAGCGAGACGATGAAGCATGGGCAAGACGAGGTTACATAGGCGGCGACGCAACAAAACAATCAAGTTTCACGTTGCTCCATGCCGAAATGCTCAACACCTGCGCGGCCAGCGCTCTGCAAAGGTCCTTTTACTAGTGCAAGAAGCGGTCAAGGCCTAGCTCGCTCGCCAGCCTCTCCGCTTCCTCCCTGCACCACTGAGTGCGAGCACCAAATGCGCGCATGCGCGCCGCCAGCGCTCGAAAGTGGCGACAACTTCACACTTCGCAGCCCCCCCAGGGAGTGCGAGGTCCCGTTTGGGTCTGCGTGGGACCCCACTGTACTGGCCCCTTCAGCAGCCCTCGAAAGTGGCGACAACTTCACACTTCGCATCACCCCCAGGCATGGCGAGGTCCCGTTTGGGTCTGCGTGGGACCCCACTGTGCTGCCCCCCCTCCCAGCAGCCCTCGAAAATGGCGACAATCTCACACTTCGCAGCCACCCCAGGGGTGGCGAGGTCCCGTTTGGGTCTGCGTGGGACCCCACTGTACTGGCCCCCCCAGCAGCCTTCGAAAGTGGCGACAACTTCACACTTCGCAGCCCCCCAGGGATGGCAAGGTCTTTTCGGGATCTACGTGGGACCCCACTGCGCTGGCTCCCAAGGCTCCCCCAGCAGCCCTCGAAAGTGGCGACAGCTTCACACTTCGCAGCCCCTCCATGGATGGCGAGGTCCCGTTTGGGCCTGCGTAGGACCCCACTGTGCCGGCCCCCCCAGCAGCCCTCGAAAGTGGCGACAGTTTCACACTTCGCAGCCCACAAGAGGGATGCGAGAGGAGAGAGCCGAGAGTGGGGGGAGGGGCGGGAGGAAAAGGAGATGGAGAAGGGAGTCGGCACCCCACTGCTCTATTCAAAACTAGAACCCATCCTAGAAAGGGTTCCGCCGTGATGTTTGTTCAAGGCACTGCGGCAACTCATTGGGAGCCTTCTTCACCATTTTGCTGGCCCTTGCGAATCGACGCGGATCGACGCTAATTCAACGCTTGCCGAAGCCAATCGACGCTGAATCTGGGCTATGCCCATCGATTACAAGACACTAGATCGGCGCTATACCCATCGTCTTGGCTCTTGCGAACCGACGCTAATCGCCGCGAGTCGACTCTAGTTGACGCTCAATGTACGCTAGTCGCTACTGCGCTCTAAAGACGAGGTTGCGAGGGCCTTCAAGGCTACCACGATTCGCTACCGAGTGCAAAGGGGCGAGGCGGCAGGGCGAAGACGCAGAGTGAGGAGGCGGGGCGAAGGCGAGGGGGAGAAGGGAGGGGGAGGGGGAGGTGGAGGGGAGCAGAGGCGAGAAGGCGAAGGGGAAGAAGGAGGGGATGGAGAGGACGGGGAGGAGGAGGAGGAGGAGGGGGAGGAGCAGGAGGAGGAGGAGGAGGAGAAGAAGGAGGAGAACGAGGAGGACGAAGAGGAAGAGGAGGAAGACGAGGGAAGCGCTCGGACCGCAGCCGCGGTTGCACAGTCCGAGCTGGCTGCCAGCACGGACCACCCGGAGCCCCCCGAGGAGCCGCGGCGCCAGCCCCGCGCACCCCGCGATGCGGTCCTCGATCGCCGCGGTACAGGGACTCGCTTGGCGGCGCGCACCACAGGGGGGTGGTGCGCCGCCAGAGCATGTCCATATCTACTGCCACGGGGTCGCAGGGCCGTGTCCCAGGGACACGGATATCAGCCCGTTGGCGCGGGCGGGCAAGGATACATCCATCGCTCCTCGAGACACCAGGGCACGACTCCGAAGCGGCGGGTGTGCACACACTCCGGCGGTGGAGCTGGCGCGAGGGGGTTGGGCCTCCAGGAATGCGGGGGGGTGGAGGGCGGCGGCCTCGCTGGAACTTTCGGGTGCACCGGAAACGGGGGCCAGGCAGAAAACGAGGGTGCGCATCATGGGCCGAAGCACGTGCGCGGAACAGTGGGGGCCAGGGGATGTGTCAAATGAGAAGGAAAATGCAATGAAACATGGGACACTTCCTGGCCCCAACCATGATATCCACATACACACACACACACACACGCACACACACACACTTTTTGGAGGCCGCGGCCCCGCACGCAGCTTCGAGGCGGAACAAGATCGGGGCTGGTGCGCGCGCGGCCAAGCCCTCAGGTGGGAATTGCTCTGGATCCCCTGCATGCCGCAGCAGCAAGCCATCCGGGCGTGGATGGCGGGGAAATGGCACGCCGCCCACAGCAGGAGCTCCAAAACGGGGACGTAGCTCAAGAGAGTGGAACAGAGGCATAACCATCCAGGCGTGGATGGCGGGGAGGTGACGCGCCGCCCGAAATTGGACGTGCAGAGCACAGACGCAGCACAGACGGACCTGCATGTGCGTGTGCGTGTGCGTGTGCGTGTGCGTGTGCGTGTGCGTGTGCGTGTGCCACTGCCGGTGCCTGTGCCGGAGCGTGTGCGCACGCGTGCGCGTGCGCATGCGCGTGCGCTTGCGGGCGCACGAGCGCACGTGAGTGTGCGCGTGCGCGTGCGTGTCCTCGTGCGCGTGCGCGTGCGCGCATGCGCGTGCTCGTGCGCGCGTGCGCGCGCGCATGCGCGTGCGCCTGCGCGTGCGCGTGCGCGTGCGCGTGCGCGTGCGCGTGCGCTTGCGCTTGCGCGTGCGCGTGCGCGAGCGCGTGCGCGTGCGCGTGCGCATGCGCGTGCGCCTGCGCGTGCGCGTGCGCGTGCGCCTGCGCGTGCGCCTGCGCGTGCGCCTGCGCGTGCACGTGCGCGTGCGCGTGTACGTGTGCGTGCGCGTACGCGTGCGTGTGCGCGTGCGCGTGCATGTGCGTGTGCGTGTGCGTGTGCGTGTGTCTTTGCATGTGCGTGTGCGTGTGCGTTTGCGTGTGCACGTGCGTGTGCGCGTGCGCGTGCGCGTGCGCGTTCGTGCGCGTGCGCGCGTCCGAGTGCAAGTGTGCGCGCAAGTACAAGTGCGCGTGCGCGTGCGTGTGCGTGTGCGCGTGCGTGTGCGTATGGGCGTGCGTGTGCGTGGGTGTGTGTGGTGCGTGTGCGTGTGAATGTGTGTACGTGTGCGTATGCGTGTGCATGTGACTTTGCGTGTGCGTGTGCGTGTGCGTGTCCACGTTGTGTGGTGTGGTTACACAGACACACCAAGACACCCACCCACACACACACACACAAACACACACACACACACACACAAACACACACTGATACTTTTGGCGGTCGCGGCCTCGCGCGCAGCGTCGGCGTCGAGGCGGAGAAAGGTCAGATCCGGTGCGCGCGCGGCTGGCCACACACACACACACACACACACACACAAACGCACACCCTAGTCCCCACCCGCCTCTTGGACACTCTTGTGAAAGGCCCAGGGGCTTCCGAGAAGGCCCATGGAAGCCGGAGGGCTTCTGAGAAGCCCCCCCCCTGCCTCCTTGTCAGTTCCCCTGCCTTCTCAGGAGGCCGCCTCCATCACGCCGCCCGCTCCCAAAGATCCGATGTCTTGACTTGCTAGGGGCCTCCTAATGGAGTCCGATGGGGATTGGAGGATCGCGCCGCACCGCCGTCGGCAACGCTTAGGCGATGTCGACGTGGAGAAGATCGGGCTCCGCATCGAGCCGCATCGCCGCTGCATCGGCGATGCGGCGCGATCCTCCGACCCCACCAACTCGGACCCCATCTGGGAGGCCCAGACTTGTGCACTACGGGAGTCCTGGAAGCCCCGACACTCTCCCTCGGGCCGGTCTTTATAACCCTGGGCCGTTCTGTGACAGCCCTGGGGCGCGGCGAGGGCCCCCCGAGGCCGAAAACGACGCAAAACCTCCGCTTTGACGTCGTTTTCCCTGACATCCACCGATATGATCGAAGAGGCCTGCGGCGAATCGCCGCCGCCCCCTGCCTCTGGAAGCGCCGATGTGGTCAACGTTTATGGCCAGAGCTCGGACAAGCCACTGGACTATGTGCTCTCCCGGCCGTAGTGGAAGCCCATCGGGGAACGTCTCTGTCAGCAGCGACTACGCGGGGTAATAAGAATCATAATCAGAGGCGGAGGAGGAGGAGGAGGAGGAAGAGGAGGCGACTTGGGTCCAGGACGAGGTCAAAGCAATGGCGGGACGCATCCGTGGCGAAGCGGGCACGCGGGAGCAGAGGAAACGGGCGAAGGGCTCGGGGGGGAAGGGCCCCTCCAGACGGCGAGGCACGCTTAGGCCATGAAGACCATGCAGTGGAAGCCCATGCCAAGAAGCACCCCGCTTGCCTCCAGGGTGCCGGGGGTCTCTTGGGTTTCGATGGTTTCGCGATGGAAAGCGCGACGCTCTAACCCCAGAAGTCAGTGGACGTCCTGAGGTTCCAGGGTTGGGTTTCTCGTGAAAGCTCTCTTGTGGTCGAGCTCCTGCTGTGTACGTGCCCATGGGGGGAACACTTTTACATCGCAGCGCGGCAGAGGCGGTCCGCACGCGCTCAGGAGGTCTGGGCAACGGAAGGCGCAAATGAACCGGCGGCAGCAGGAGGGGAAGACAGGCGAAAGCGGCCGCGAGGGACCGGGGAACACGTGAGGAGGAAAGAGGAGGAGGACAGGGCCTTTTGGGAGCCTCTTGTGGCGCTCTTAGGGCTGCGGCCCTAGGGGTCCAAACCCTCTCCTGGGAGATAGCTTTCGTCCCAAACCAATTTTCTCACGGGCCCCATGCACAGGCCGAGGTCGAGGCAAAACGACGGGATGGAAAAAATCGAATCGTCAGAGATCTGGGTTGTTGGTGGAGGGGGCGGGGCGGGGCAATTATTGTACGGCAGATTCGTGTCGTGCCGAATTCAGCGTTCGTTTCTGCCGCCGCGGGAAACATTAAACCTTAAAAGATCGGCCGTTTCTGAAAACGTCGGATCCTTCAACATGGACCGCCTCTGGGTCGCCGGCGGCGTTCGACGTTGGAGGCCAGCGGCGGGGTCACGGCCGCTCGACACGACGCGAGCCTGCGGTAAGCGAGAGTACCAGTAGGTCGGGCATGTCCTCCTACAGGCGGATGTTGGAAGGAATATCAACAATGGTCAGAAAATGCTCAAAAGTGGTCAAGAGAAGAGGCGAAGAATCGTCCCAAAACTATTATTTTACCATTCTTGTATATTCCTCCCGTAGAGGGACATGCCCGACTCACTGGAGGAGGAAACCCAACCCTGAGACCCCAGGACGTCCATCGACGCTTGGCTTTGGAACGCCACTCTTTCCGTGGCAAAACCATCGAAACCCAAGAAACCCACAGGGCACCCTGGAGGCAAGGAGGGTGTTTCTTGGCATGGGCCTCCACTGGGACGCACAGAGACATACTAATACTATATGTCCGCCTTGGAGGCGCGCGTCCGACCCGAACATATAGTATACCCATCTTGTAGTATATCGTTTCTCGAACGGTGTGGCCAGAAAGCGCCCGCCACGACGCGTATACTACAAGATTTCTCGGTGCGCGCGTCGCCCCTGGGGGGGGCGACGAACACATAGTATAAGTATGTTGGGGGGACGCCGATCCACCGTAAATTTACCGAGAACGGCGATCTGTGTGCAGGCGCGCCGGACGTCTGGGCCCCGGCGCGCGCCGCCAAGGCCTCGGCGGGCGCGAGCTGCAGCAGCGCGCGGGTGCCCCCCGCAAAGGGCCCGCCGCCGGCGCCCGCGGGCGCCCCGGCCGCCCCGCGAGGCAGGCGCCGCAGCAGTGCCTCCGCCTTCGGCGGTGCGCCCAGAGGCCCGGCGTGCTGAAAACACCCAGACAGACAGACAGAGAAGCCAGGCGCCCGGACGGCGCATCGGCAACAGAGCATTCACTAAGGATTGACCGGCCCCCGCGCGCACCGAGCAAACGTGCGTCGTGCGAGCGAGCGTCGGGCAAAGCCAGGCGCCCAGAGGCCCAGCGTGCTGAAAACACCCGGAGGTCCAAAACGCATCGAAGAAGTCGGAGTGAGAGGGGGGCCGAGCGGTCCTTCGCTGTCCCTGGGTGCGCGGCTGATGCGGGATTCCGCGGTGCGGATTATTGTTGTTGTCGTCGTCGTGGCCGTCGTCGTCGTCGTCGTGGTCGTTGTTCTTGTTGTTGTGTTTGATTGTGTGTTTCTTTGTTTGTTTGAGTGAGTGCTTGTTTGTCTGTCTGTTTATTTATGTGTTCGTTTGTGTGTTTGTTTGTTGTTTGTGGTGGTGGTGTTTTGTTGTTGTTGTTGTTGGTGGTGGTGTCGTTGTTGCTGTTGCTGTTTGTGTTGATGTTGTGTTGATGTTGTGTTGATGTTGTGTTGTTGTTGGTAATGTTGCTGCTGTTGTTGTTGGTGTTGTTGGTTGTTGCTGTTGGTGTTGTTGCTGTTGGTGCTGTTGTTGCTGTTGGTGCTGTGATGGTGGTGGTGGTGGCGTTGTTGTGGTCGTTGTTGTGGTCGTTGTTTTGTTGTTGCTGCTGTTGTTGTTGTTGGTTGGTTGTTATTGTTGTTTGGCGTCGTCTGGCCCGCGACCCACACGCGACCCACCCCGCGACCCGCCCGCGACCCACCCGCGACCAACCCCGAAAACCACCCGAGAACCACCCGCGACCCACTCCGCGACCCGCCTGCGACCCACCCGCGACCGGCCCGCGACCGGCCCGCGACCCACTCGCGACCTGGCCCGAGACCTGGCCCGCGACCCACCCACGACCCACCCCCGCGACCCACCCACGACCCACCCGCGACCCACGCGCGACCCATCCCGCCACCCACCAGAGAACCACCCGCGACCCACCCCGCGACCTGCCTGCGACCCAACCGCGACCCACCCGCGACCCACTCGCAACCCGCCCCGCGACCCACCCGCGACTCACCCGCGACCCACCCGCGACCCACCCCGTCACCCACCCACATTTGTTTAACGAAAAATCGACGCCTGCGGCGGGCTCGTTGCATAATTTGCAAAATTGGGCGCCTGCGGCGGGCATTTGTGGAGCCTCGCAGACGGCAGACGTCCCCGCCGCCCCCTCACTCTTATCCGCGACAGCGGGGTGCTGCCCTCGCTGGGCCCCGGGGCAATCAAAAAACGGTCCACGATGAAAAACCGGTCCTGGGGAATGGGTCAAAATTTCGGGGGGGCGCGCATGGAAAAAATCACGACATGGACCTCTGGGAAAACAAACGGAAGTTGTTCGCTGTTTCGGCCTCCACAAGCCTTCGCCGGCAAAACAACTCGGGAGGAAAAGCTGGTCCCCAAGATCGGGGCATATGGGTCGGAGGATCACGCCATACCGCGTTGCAGCGGCGACGTCGGCGTGGAGAAGATCGGGTTCCACATCGAACCGCATCGCCGCTGCATCGGCGACGTGGCGCAATTTTCCGACCCCACCAACTCGGACCTCATGTCGACAGCCTGGAAAAAAACGATCCTGGCCCAAGGTGTTCCCGGCGTTGCGCGCAAACTCTGGGCCCCTGGAGCCGTCTGGGCCTCGCGGGGGGCGCTCGGGAGGACACCTCTGCGCCTTCGTGGGAAGGCTGGGGCCACCTTGGGCCAGAGACTAGGCCTCCTAAATGGGGTGCGAATACATTGGGTCGAAAGATCCCGCCGCATCGCCAATGCATCGGCGACGCATCGGCGATGCATCGGCGACGTCGGCGATGCATCGGCGACGTCGACGCGGGGAACCACGGTCTCCACGTCGGGCCACATCGTCGATGCATCGGCGACGCGGCGCGATCCTCCGACCCCATCTACGCGGACCCCATCCGAGAGGCCTAGAGAGAATGGCCTCTGGCAGCACCCAATTCGGATCCAGACCTCCGACGAGCGGATTTCTGCCCACCCGCGAGGACGCGTCGTCGGGCCCCGGGGCCGACAGCAGCGGACCTGGGACGACCCACTGCTACCAGGGACGGGGCCGGGGAGGAGGAGGAAGATGAGGAAGAGGAGGAGGACGACGAGGACGAGGACGAGGAGGCGGAGGAGGAGCAGGAGGCGGGGGACGCGGAGGAGGCGGAAGAGGCGGAGGAGCAGGAGGAGGAAGACAGGACAGGACATCCGCAGAAGGGGGCCAACGTCAACACACCTAGACTGGTGCCCTGCCCGCGTATGCAAAATCCCCTGCGGATTGGTCGTGCCACAGCCCTGACTTCTCACTAAGGCCGGCAAGGGGCACACCTCGAAGCTTCAAAGGGTGAGATCCGAAGTGGCCCCGTTAGAGAGGCTCGCTGCCTTGTGAATACGAGTCGCTGCGGGTCAGCGCGGGGGGAACAGTTACTGGCCCTTCCGCGCGCCCTGGGCAAGGGGACGCGCTGCGCGCGCAGGGCCCCCAAGCTAGGGGGGAAAAGACGACGATGCGACCACTCAAAAGGAAAGGGACGGAGAAACAGGAGGCCCCTGTTACCCAAACTTCTGCGGGGGGGCCAGTTATCCTACTCTATCCTGTTCTCTCCTCTCTGTTTCGGCCCACTTCTCTCCCAGAATGAACTGGGCGATCGTTGCCCCATGCATTGTCGCAACTGTACCCTGATACCCTGTCGAAGTAGCCTATTGCTTCCCCTCGACGTGTAGGTAGGGCAGATCATACTGGTGGAGGTGGGGCCCTCGTGGATGCGCTCTGGTAGCCTTCGTGTTTATCGCCTTTTTCCCATTCCCCCCAGCAGTAGCGCACCTGTCGGCGCTGAAAAAAACACCTCCCAAGACGCTGTTTGCGCGAGCTCCCTCTGCGGGGACCTCACGCCGAGATTATCCCTCTAACAGTGGCCCCACTGAATCTGCCGGCCTGCCTAGAGTCGCATTCCGAGATGATCTCACCAGTGCACCTCTTAGCGTTGTCAGCGGGACCCAGTGGGCCATCTCACTTGCGGCCGCTGGAATTGGCCGCCTTCTCCGACTTGGCGCACTTCTCGAAGGTCTCGGGGCCACCCAGCAGGGCCTTCGCGCTGCCCCTTAGCTCCTGGCGTTTTTAAACACCATTTTCTCACCGCCTCTGGGTCGAGATTGTCCTCGCCGAGGTTATCCTCGTCATTCTTCGCCATCTTCAGCGCCGACTCACACCGGATCTGCACAGTGAAGGCCTTCTTCCCAATTCTTTTCCATGTCCACCGGGTACCTTGCGATCAGATCGCACCCGTCGACCTTGTGCGTCATCGGGGAAGCGATTGGGGCCAGCTCGACGAGCTCCACTGGGCTCATCTTCTGGGCGGCGTCGCAGAACTCCCAGCGGCCCCCTTCGATGGCGTCGCCCAGCGTCTGCGGCGGCCTTTCCGCTACAAACGCTTCCCACTTTTCCCCGCCCTGAGCTCCACCACCATTGCAGGTCTCCATGTGGACGATTGGAACACGCCTTGCACCCGACGCGTGGCCGCTCCTCACCGTCCTCGCCGAAGTCGTTCTTCATTCCCTACCTAGGCTCAGCCTAGGAGGGTTCTTACTCTTTGGGCGTAAAGGGCCGGGCAATGGAAAGCGCCCCGGGCGGCCCCCCCAGCATCCGCCCCACGATTCCCCCAGTTGCGCCCACATAGCTTAGCGTTGCTTATCTCATCTTAGCTTAGCCAAGCTTAACTTAGCCTAGCTTAGCTTAGCTAAGCTTAGCTTAGCTGTAGCCTAGCCTAGCTTTAGCTTTAGCTTAGCTTAGCTTGGCCTAGCTTAGCTTAGCTTAGCTCAGCTTAGCTTACCTTCGCTGCGCTTAGCTCATCTTAGTTTAGCCTAGCTTAACTTAGCTTAGCTTAGCTTAGCTTCGCTTAGCTTTAGCCTAGCCTAGCCTAGCCTAGCCTAGCCTAGCTTAGCTTAGCTTTAGCCTAGCCTAGCCTTCCTTAGCTTTAGCTTAGCTTAGCTCAGCTTTGCTTAGCTTAGCTTGGCTTAGTTTAGCTTAGCTTAGCTTAGCTTTAGCTTAGCTTAGAATAGTTTACCTTAGCTTAGCTCTAGCGCAGCGCAGCATAGCGCAGCGCAGCATTCGCACAGCATAGCATAGCATAGCATAGCCAAACATAGCATAGCATAGCGAAGCATAGCTCAGCATAGCAAAGCACATCGTAGCATAGCATAGCGCAGCATAGCATATCATCGCACTGCTTAGCATAGCACAGCGCGGCAGAAGCAAAGCAAAAGCAACAGCAAAAGCAAAAGCAAAAGCAAAGACCAGGCAATGCAAAGCGAAAGCAAAACCGATGCGAAAGTGTGGATGTAGATGTAGATGTAGATGTAGATATAAATGTATATGTAGATGTAGATGTAGCTGTAGATGTAGATGTAGATGTAGATGTAGATGCAGTGCAGATGCAGATGCAGATGCAGATGCAGATGCAGATGTAGATGTAGATGTAGATGTAGATGTAGATGTAGATGTAGATGTAGATGTAGATGTAGATGTAGATGTAGATGTAGATGTAGATGTAGATGTAGATGTGTAGATGTAATGTAGATGTAGATGTAGATGTAGATGTAGATGTAGATGTAGATGTAGATGTAGATGTAGATGTAGATGTAGATGTAGATGTAGATGTAGATGTAGATGTAGATGTAGATGTAGATGTAGATGTAGATGTAGATGTAGATGTAGATGTAGATGTAGATGTAGATGTAGATGTAGATGTAGATGTAGATGTAGATGTAGATGTAGATGTAGATGTAGATGTAGATGTAGATGTAGATGTAGATGTAGATGTAGATGTAGATGTAGATGTAGATGTAGATGTAGATGTAGATGTAGATGTAGATGTAGATGTAGATGTAGATGTAGATGTAGATGTAGATGTAGATGTAGATGTAGATGTAGATGTAGATGTAGATGTAGATGTAGCTGTAGATGTAGATGTAGATGTAGATGTAGATGCAGATGCAGATGCAGATGCAGATGTAGATGTAGATGTAGATGTAGATGTAGATGTAGGTGTAGGTGTAGATGTAGATGTAGATGTAGATGTAGATGTAGATCTAGATGTAGATGTAGATGTATATGTAGATGTAG